CATGGAGCCATCCCCTTCATCCCAACCCTATCTGGGAGAGCAGATGCAGACCAGCGACATCTTCCTGATGGTCCTATCTCCCAAGGTGCTCCTTAGTAAACACCCAACATCAATCACAGAGGGACCGCAGGGCAATGGCTAGCAGAGCTGGAGAAGCCAGGGCTTGCTCCCATTGAAGATGGTCATTTCCTGGACTGCCGAAATACTGGCTTTTGGGAAAGGACACACAGGCATCTCCTGACACACTCAGGGGTCTCCTGAACCAGAAGTAACACTGCCTGGGTGTGAGCCCCAACTCTACTTGGTCCCAGCTGGGTAACCTCAGACAAAGTCCCTTCATCCTCCCGTTATCCTTGTCTGTGAGCTGGAGAGGAGCAGGCTACGAAGCTGAGAGCTCAGAGCACCAGACACACTATGTAATCCTACAGCCTGTAGCTGCAGACACCGGGCTATCTCAGACCATCAGGCTTCTGGGAGGTAGCCAGCAAGTGGAAAGAACACAAACGCTAAGACATTCCTGTAAAAAACGGACACCCATTTAGGATGGCGAAGGACACCTGTACTACTCATGATGCTGCAGGAGCCCTTGGACCCAATTTACTTGAAAATAGGTAACTCCTACCCTTTTTTAGCACATATTCTCATACGCACGCGCACACACACACACACATGCACACAAGCACCTGGGGGTGGGGCACAAGTGCCCAGCCTGACATGTACACAGGCACTCATATGGCAACCCTATCCCAGGTCCCAAGGAAACCTACCTCTTCTTCCTCCTGCCCAGGGTCTTCCTTTACTTCACTCTCTTTCCTCTTCTTTTTCTTCCTTCTCGCAGCCAGCCCTTCACCATCTGGCTGGTCCACCTTTTTCTTGGGTTTGCCTTTCTTCCCAGAGGCCTTTGGGCTGTCTATAGGGATATAGTCCAAAGCTTCACTTCTGACTGACTTCTTACTTCCTTTCTTCAGGCCGTTCTCCATGGAGAGCTTGGAGTGGACTGGGAGGATGTCTCCCTCTTGGTGGCTCTTCTTCTTTTTCTTCTTCATGCTGTGCTCTCTGGATCTCCCCTGTTTCCTTTTCTGCCCCAAGGCTGCCTGCTCCCCGGCCTCTGCCCACTCTGAGCATGGGTGCAGAGCATCCCCAGCCTCACAGAGCCAAGGGTCCTGGGGAGGAAAGGCTTCAGTGTTCAGAACCTTTTTTTCTTTCCTGTGTTTTTTGGACTTCTTACCAGCTTTGCTTACCTTCTCAGCATGCTTGGGGTCTAGGGAGGTCTTCAACCCTGAGCACTGGGAGGTAGCCTGTGGTAAGGACTTCCTCCTCTTCTTTTTCTTCTCTCCACTGAGGCACTCTGTTGACTGCTCACGGACCTGCCTTTTAGGGCTGGGGGACTTTTTCCGTCCTGCTCCTGTGGCCTCAGACTCCAGGCGCTCCCTCAAGTGAGCACTAGGGGACTTTTTTTTCTTCTTTCTCTTGCCCAGTGGCATCTCAGAGACCTGCCCTTCACCCACATTGTTAGAGGGGGACGTGGCCCTTGGCGGAGAGCCATCAACAAAATAATCATTACTGTTTAAGACTGAGTATTGAGTCTCTGGATCTGTGACCTCTGCAGCCACCTTCTTTTTCTTCTTCTTCTTCTTCTTCTTCTCTGGGAGCTGGGGACCCAGGTCTACTCTCTGAGTCTTGGTAACCATTCCTGAGGAGAAAAGCAGAAATAATGCAAATTTATCATTTTACTCAGTTGCAAGCTGTGGTCCTGAAGTTCTTCACTGTTTCTCTGTGTGGGCAGTTTGACATGGGGGCGTGGGGCGGGAGGGAGATGGGGAAACAACTCCCATTCACTGGGAGCAAGAGGAAAGACCCTCAAATGGCAGGAGTGTAAATCCAGATGGCCCTTCGTTCAAACCCAAACTACTCACTCAACTTGACTCTGATCACCTAATCTCTCTGAATGTCAGTTGCCTTTTCTGGGAGGAAATAACCCATCCATTCTTGAAGAGGTGCTGGAGAACCTGCAGAAAAGGCTTTGAGCACTGTTGAGACCTTGTCTACCATCTTCCTGAAATCCCCCAACCCCAACCTAAATTCAACAGATACTTACCAAGTGCCTACCCAGGCCCGCAATGCAGGCTGTGATCAAGCTGTTGGCTGGCCCCCTACTTTCCCTTCTCCCAGATGAAGCAGAGAGAAATTCCAAGCAGCCCTCCTCATTGACTATCAACAGAGCCAATGAAGTGCCACAGTTAAGTCAACCCCTTCCTCTGACTCATATAAATAGCGCTCCTACACTAGGTAGGAATGAACCCCCTGTCTACCAACTTTTACCATCCCAAGCTACCAAAACAATGTGGCACAGTAGACAAACCTCAGCCTGGACTCCACACACTTGGGCCAAATGCAAACACTGGTATTCTTTTCCTTGCCTCCTACCATTGGCTTCTCTGGACCCCAGTGTTACCAATCCACATAAAGGCTGAACCAAAAGGTATTCAACTGGGGGAGGCCTCAGTCTGCAAGCCTGTTTCACTCTCTTCAACTTCAACATGACTGTGAAGAACTAATGAGTGGCAATAACACTTAGAAACCTTGATTACTAGCTGGGCGGTGGTGGCCCATGCCTTCAATCCCAGCACTCAGGAGGTGGAGCCAGGCAGATCTCTGTGAGTTTGAGGCCAGCCTGGTCTATAGAGCGAGATCCAGGACAGGCTCCAAAGCTACACAGAGAAACCTTGTCTCGGGGGAGAAAAAAAAAAAAAAAAAGAAGAAATCTTGATTACCTAGCTTTCCTCAGGAAAATAGAAATACTCATGACAAGCGGCTGCAGGACTCAATATATGGTTTTCACTACAGTCACCAGGCTGGTTCTTGCTACTCCCTGGACTAGAGGGAATCTAGAGACAAAACACCAGAGGCTTCTGGGGTGGGCAGGGGGAAGGTTGGAAATTAGGTCAGGAGCAACTTCATCCTGCAGCACTCCTTGGCTTTGAGCTCACAGGGTCCACACAGGACTCAGGTCATTCCTGGCAGCTTCAAAGATCTAGGCCAAGCTTGAGCTTGTTCAAGTTCATTCACGCCTTGCTCTAGGGCTACATGGACATTTCTGGTAATATCTAAGCCCATGCATCCATTCTTATCTACCCTATTGCCTGATGTATTCCTGGAGCTGCTCAGTGCCTGGCCCATAGCACGTTGTCAATACTTATTACAGGACTATTAATGATTCAGAGATGAATGAGAAAAACAGCAGTCATCAAAAGGCAAGTAGATGGGGAAAAGACACCTAACAAGATGACACAGGGGATAGGAGGAAGGGTAGGCCACGCATGATGGCATGATTTCCTGAGCTTGGAAAAATCACAAGTTAGAAGCCAGCTTGGTCTACATATTGAGTGCCAGGCCAGTCAGGGGTACACAGGAAGCTAGCTCAACCCTCCTTCCTCCCAGCAAGAACCAAAAGAAGCAAGACTGTTAAGTTCAGGACTGGGAAGTCACACAATATGCTTGTCTGTTAGGGCTTCTACTGCTGTGGTAGAACACACGACCAACAGCAACCTGCAGAGAAGATTTAGTCCATCACTGAGGGAAGTCAGGGCAGGAATCCACGGCAGGAACCAAAGGAAAGAAGTGAGGCAGATGCCATGGGGGACGCTGCTTACTAGTTTGCTTCTCATGGCTAACTCACCTTGCTCTCTCAGACAACTCAAAACCACCTATGGGGGGGGGGGGCATTACCCACAAGTGGGCTGGGCCCTCCCACATCAATCATTAATCAAGAAAATGCCCCAAGACTTGCCTACAGACCAATCTTACGGAGGCATTTTCTCAACTGGGAGTTCCTCTTCCCAAATGACTCTAGCTTGTGTCAGGTTGACATACAACTAACCAACACACCGTGTCCAGTTGTCAAGAAAATGTTTGAACGTGGTTTTCTAGCTTGAGCAATAGAAGGATGGTGATGCCAACCTTTTAGACAAAAGTTGACAGTGACTGGACAGCTGGGTGAAACGAGCTGCCTTGGACAGATGCCTTGATACACCCACTGAACAGGTGTCTGTACAGGTCTGAGGCAAAGGTGTGACTCTGACCAACATGGATAACATAAATAAGACTACAGGGATGGTACTTAAGCAGGGAACAGACTGGGCCTCAAGGCATACCGGAGGAAGGGGACTCACAAAAGAGAGGAAGATACAAAGCCCCTAGAGGGTGGTGTCAGGTAAGACCAGGATGCTACAGGATTTCGGGGAGTGGTCAAGAGAGGTGATGGGAGTAAGAAAAGTCCCAGGAGTCAGCTTAACCCACTTTCCGGTTCTGCCACTCAGCACTCTGTAACACAGAGTCTTTACTGCCCTGGAACTGTACAGGTTTCCACTCTCATCAGAGGAAACGAGCCTACACTGCATCACCTAGAAACACACGCTTTCTTCAAAAGCGCTTTATTTTTCAGATAAAGTTTGGCTATACCGTCCGGGCTGGTCTGCAACTCGTGATCCTCCTGCCTCGGCATCCCGCGTGCTGCAATTACAGATGTGGGCCCGTACGCTCTGTCTTAAAGCGCTTTTAAATTCCCGCGGAGGCCTCAGACAGAGTTGGTGTGACCCCAAAAACTCCTAGGCCTCGGAGACGTTAAATCACCAGGTCAGCAAGGGGCAGAACACGGATTCGAACCCAGAGGAGCGTGTGCTGTCCTCACCAACCGCAGGCTGCTCGCCAGGACCATCCCGGGGCCGACTTCAGGGCGGGAGGCCTTGGGGAGAACCCGAGGGCTGCGGACAGGTTTGGGGGATGGCTTTCTTTGTTCTTCCTATCCCTCACCGTGCAGGGCCCCCCTCACCGAGGCCAGCAGCCCGCTCAGCCCGCACTCACCTGGTCCACCCGCGGGCCAGGCCTGCCCACGTGAGCGCCCGCGCCGCCGCGACCCGGAAGTCATCTTCGCGTTTCTGGCACGCCCCCGGGAGGGCCGTCTTCTTCCGGGTCGCGGCCTCCCGGTGCCCACGGTTGTTATGGAAACCGCGTGCATGGCGGTGGCTAGACAGGTGTCCAACCGCGGTGTGCTGCGCGAGGAGGCGGGAGGTTCCGCGGACTCGTCGGTCACTGCGCGGACGCCCGTGCCCCCGGTGTCGCCCGGGTCCCTAGAAAGGCTTGTGTCGCCCGCACAGGTCACCGAGTCGCCGGGGAAGAACCTGTGGGAGCAGATCTGCGAGGGTAGGCGGCTGCCGCTGGCCCGGCCAGGCGGGACGCGGGCGGGACCCGCGGGGACGGGCGTTCCAAGCCTCTGTGTGCCAGGCGGGTGACGCGCCCGGGCGGACTAGCCAAGACTCGGGCCCCCACGCGGAGAAACCGGCTGGCGGCTGTCTGGATCCCGGTGCGACCGCAGGCAACAGGCATGCAGGAGGAACCCGAGTCCGGGAGTTGCGGAGTGTGGAGCTCTGGGGTGGAGACTCGGTCCGCCCGCAGGGCTTCCGATGGGAAGCAGGGAGTGGGCTTTGTAGTCAGGTAATTCCAGGGTAGGGAGTCAGTGGTCCATTTGGGGAGTACTTAGGTGTGGACAAATGAGTTTTGATCTCTTCTTGCCTCCAGCCTTTTTCTGAACTCCCACAAACACAAGCTGGATCACGTGTTCCTTTGCAGCCCACGCACCTTGGTCGTGGGGTCCTGTAATAGTCTTACGGTGGGCATAATAATGGTACGTACGTCGTGATGTTAGGAGCTGGAACCACGTGGCCACAAATCCTTGGTTACGGGAAGAGTTAGTTTTCCTAAGCTTTCAGATCTCAAAGTCAAAGACACAGATTCATTTCTAATCATTCTGTCTTTCCCAGTCCTTTCTTCCCGTCTCCCTTTTTTCTTTTCTCACTTTGTACTGCAGACTGGCCTCTAGCTCAGAATACTCCTGCCTCCCAACTACTGGAAGATTTTCATTCTTGTTACATTAACTGTCCAGTACAGTACTAATAGAACCATAACAATCTGTGCTGTTAAATGTGTTTGAGATGTGATTTGGGATTGGCAGAATTGAAGGACCAAATTTCTTACTTTACTTAATTTTAATAAATTTAAATGGCGATATAAGACTGCTGCATTGATAGTTCCGTGTCAGTAAACGTTTATTGAATGGGAACAGTAAATTTGCTAGTATATAAAGGGAAGAGAGATAAGTTGGAAGAAATACAGAGGAAAAGAGTTGTGGGCTCAGAGTCAGTACCCCCAAATCATCTATTTCCACCCATTAGGGCTTAAATTCCTTCTTCAGTGTAACACTTGCTCCAGAGAAAAAGGTTTCATTTTGATATTCTTGTAAGTTCCGCCCTTAGAGTCCTTGCCTGGGGAACTAATCTACAGCAATATTTGGGAGTCTGTTGTCTTTTACCCAGAGAATTCACTTTTCCAATAGTTCTTTATAGTACAGTTTCAAACTACATTGTGTAGTTTGTTTCTTTTCTCATTGCTGTGATTAAAACACCTCACAAAAGCAACTCAAGGAAGGGTTTATTTCGGCTCACAGTTTGAGGGTATAGTCTGTAGGGTGAAAAGGACCAAAGGAAAAACACTCTGGCCCTGACTTGGGAACAGGGGTTGAGATCCCACCAATCAATCCCCTGGCCCCCTCAGTACTAAATCCCACTAATCCCAAACTACCCTGGAAAGTCCCCCCACACACACACCTATCTCCCCCTACCCCCGCCCTCCAAGGAACCCTATATACGCTCTGTACCCTATTCAGTTTGCTGCCGCCTCACCCTAGAGGCAGCCACCCTCCTCCATTCTTCTTTCCCAATAAATGTCTTGAGTGAGGTTTGTTGTGTGGCATGACATTTTCACTGGAGTGAAGCCCAGCTGTAACAGTTTCGCTGGGGAGACCTTCCCCTAAGGAAGTCGAGTTGGTACACTCCTGGGAACCTAAGCAGAGCTGTAACACTTTCTCTGGGGAAACTTGCCCTTAAGCGAGCAGAGCCTGTAACATACTGTGAAATAATCCTGTATACTGTGAATGTTGCTCTCATTGTTAATTAAAAAAAAAACCAAAAAACTGATTGGCTGATGGCTAGGCAGTATTTTTGGGGCAGAGAGAATGTTGGAAAGTAGAAGGGTAAAGTCAGAGGAGATGATGCCATGAAACGCAGAGCGAGCAAGATAAGTCTCTGTGTAGTAATTTCCTGGAGCAGGGCTGTAAGCTGCTATACTTGCAGTGACTTTGTGGTATTCCTTGGCTCCTGACTACCAGGATACCTTTCTATCCAAGCTGCAACACTTACATAGTCCATCAACACTTACACAGTCCATCAACACTTACACAGTCCATCATTGCAGCAGGAGCTCATGGCAGCCAATCCCATTGCATCACACCCAGGAAACAGAGAGATGGATGTTGGGGCTCAACTTACTTTCTCCTGTTTATTCAGCCCAGGACCCTATAGATCATTCCACCTCAATCGAATCTAGAAACTTCTTTTACAGACATGCCCAGAGTGCTATCTCCTAAGTGGTTCTAAACCCTGTTAACTTGACAGTATCACAAGTAGTGTTGGGGAGGTGCCCTCTGGGGGAGATAATTCTACCTCACAGGGCTCTCTAGTGGGGACCAAATGAGATCATGTATGAGAAGATGCCCTGCATCAATACATGATCTTAAATATTGATAAAGAAACTTGCTTTGCCTTCTGTTGTGGAATTGGTTTCTGTGGGGCTGTCATGTCTGGGTAAAACAGGGGCAAAAGGTTTCAGTGTGCTCTGAAAACAAGTGAATTGGTGACACAGAGTAAAAGCCGTTGAGCAGTGAGGTACTGATGATGGGTTCTATATATGGCCACCATGACTTCAACCTAGATGACTGTCCTACTTATTTTGTGCTGTACTAAAACACTGACCAAAGTCAACTCGGGGAAGAAAGGGTTTATTTCAGCTTACAGGTTCTAGTCCACAGTTGAAGGAAGCCAAGACAGGAACTCACAGCAGGAAACCATGGAAAAATGATACTGGCTGGCTCTCCTGGCTGTTGCTAGACCAGCTTTTTTTTTTTTTTTCTTTTTTAAATATGTAAACAAGGGCCATCTGCCCAGTGCTCATCAATGAACAATCAAGAAAGTGCCCACAGACATGTCCATAGGCCAGTCTGTTTGAAGCAATTCCCCAGTTGAGACTCCCTCAGATGACTCTGATCTGTGTCAGGTTGACAGCTGCAGCTAACCGGACGAATGACTAACCCTAATTCTTACACATATAAACAGTGTAGTTTTGTATAGTAAGAACATAGAGAGTATGTTCAGCTTCTTAGAGGAAGCATGGAGCTGGGTGTAGTGGTGCACAGCTGTAATCCTAGCATGTGAGGGGCTGAAACTGGAAGACCCAGCATTTGAAGCCAGCCTGAGCTACATAGACTCTCCAAAGAGCCAAGAAAAAGGCGGTGGGGAGCAGGGGGAATAAAAAGTGTATATTCTTTCTGGTAATCTTATCGCTGAAGTTAGTTATTACATTCTATAAGCATGAATCCATTAAAAAATTATCACAGCCAGTAGACCTGGCAGGAGCTCAGTTTCGTGAAAACAAGGTACAACATTGGTCGGTATCTAATTTGAGTCCTTTCTCCTCCCTGGCTCTACTGCTGTGTGTACGCCTGCTTGCCTGCCTGCCTATCCAATAACTTATTTCTAAATGTTCATCATTGTTCTTCCTCATCTTTCCAGCAACAACTAAAGCCTTTGTATTCTCAAGATGGTATTGTTATCAATAAGCTTCCTTCCTTCCAGTATTCTAATTAAATAATAGAGTGGTGTGTGATGTTAATGGTTTTAAGCAACAGTGAGCCTTGGCGTTTGAAGCTCTCATTTCCTATTTTAGCACCATCGTGATTACTGCTATCAATATCCTCTTGCTGTCCTTGACCCATCGATTAATCATTCTCAAGCTGAGCAGTTATTGGAAAGTAGGTCCCTCATCCCACTGGTCAGATCCCAGCATGGGTCCACCCTGAATGAATGCTTCGTCCTCCAACAGCAGCTGAGCAAGCCAGAGAAAATGACACCAACCAGCTCTGGGCACTGCTCATCAGTGTTCATCAGTGTCTTCTCCCACCTCCCACATCTACTGGTCCAAGTTTTAACCCAAATAAATGGTCCTGCCACTTAGCACAGGACACATTTACTGAGAAGATGCCTGCAGTTGAGAGTGGGCAGGAAATCCAACTTCTTTATACCAACACACATATAGTGCACACCTTTAACCTCAGCACTTGGAAAGTAGATGCAGGCAATCTCTATTAGTCTCAGGCCATCCTGGTCTATAGAGTTGAGTCCCTGTCAAAAACACCCCCACACACTTGATCCATAAACACATAAAGGCACACCCACTAATCATGGCTCAGTGGTCTCTGGACTTAGGTACCACCATCTTGTTATTCCCAAGATCCTGGTCTATCACTTCCTCCTTTCCATGCCGACATCTTTCACATCTCTGCTAGCTTATCTCTTCACATACTCTGATCTGTGATCACAGGAGAAGAACCTGTTTTGAGTCCATCTCTTGCAGCTCTTGTCTGTGTTTCCCTCTCTGCCAGGAATCCATGACCCCTTTTCACACCACTTCCATGCCCATTGCCTTTCCAATCCAGAAGGGAGTAGCTTCCATTCTGCTTCCCAAAGGAGTTGTTCTCCTGCCTCACTCATATGTACTTCTGCTGCTGGAAACTGTCTTTGGTGCTGGGTCAGACATGAGTCTTGCTACTCATAAACACTAGCACCTTTCTCAGGGAATCTCACCTCTTTTACTCAGATACCCAGTCCAGAAATGCAGGGTATCCTAACTGCCTCAATTCCCATGACTCAGAAGTTCATTCACCAGCCCTTGAATGCTATGTAAAATGAACACCCATTCCTGCCAAGTTCATCCATGGCTACCAAGGACTTGGACCTGCCTGGGGCAGTGAGGAAATGGAGAAAAGACAGACAAAGGTCTGATGGTCTGGACTCTCTGCTGCAGAAATCCCAGCACCCCAGAAGCTCAGTGTGTTTAGTACAGAAAGTTGAACAAGGGAGAGAGGTTAGTACAGATAAACAAGGGGGCGAAGTTTATGGTTTATAGCCAGATGAAGGAAACAGGTTTGGGTGATCTCAGTAAGAGCATTCTCTGTAGGGGAACAGTCTTCAGGCCGTGAACATCTAGTGGGAGAATAATATGGTGGATAATTTCTGCACATATTATCGGCATCCACACTCAGGCCGGAAGGGAAGGCTTTGCCACTTCCCTCTGATCTTCACCCTTTGGGAGAAGACTTTGTCATTTGCTCCACGGCTCCGAGGCGCTGGTGTTCTTGACACAGCCATGCCCATGTCGACAGCACACCCTCACTCAGCACACTCAGACTCGGTGCGGGCTTCCTCTGCTCTCCATACAGTCCCACTTGTTCTTAGATTAAGGCCCATTTAGCACACGTATAACGTTAAATTCCCCTGATCAATGAATTCCAGCTAAACTCTTTGATAGTAGAGAGATTATAAGCTCTATAGACAGCACACCTGATTTCAGTGTGTGCTTACAGTACAGGTCAGAGAAAATAAGCAATTTTCCTAAGGGTCACAGCGCTTAAAACTTGACTTGAGAGTAGATTGATGGGAGAGTATGTTTCTCAAATTCACGCCGGTTTGATACCCAGAAGGAGGGGAAGAACAAAATGAATGGATCAAACTGTGGGTAAACCACCTCATTTGTGTAAAGAATTCATGGGGTGCTGGGCATGGTGGCACACACCTTCAATCCCAGCACTTAGGAGGCAGAGATGTCAGACCTCGATGAGTTCAAGGCCAGCCTGGTCTGCAAAATGAGTTCCAGGGTAGTCAGGCCCACACAGTGAGACTCTGTTTCAAAAAAAAAAATCATCAACAACAACAAAAATCTCAACAACAACAAACAAAAACATTCCTGGGACTGAGGAAATGGCTTAACAGAGTCTTTGTAATTCAAGGATGAGGACCCTGATTTGGGTTTGATTCCCCAGCACCTATGATGAGGATGCGGATACCGGAGGATCCCTGGAGCTCGATGGCTAGACACTCAACAGATTAGTACATTCCAGGTTTAGTAAGAGACCCTGTCTCAATAAACAAGCAACCGAGGAGGACACCTGACACTGACCCGGGAGAGTGCATGTCGTCTTCCAAGATGCCAGATTTCTTAAACATTACAGAGACTCCAGGTAGCGAACCATCAGTGTCCTGAAGCTAATGTATTTTCCCATACTTGAACATAATCATCTCAGCTGTTTATCTTTTGTGGTCAAATAAAGGAGTTTGTGTCTTTCTATCAAACAAGATGAAAGAGGTTTTATTTTAAAATATAATGCAAAGAAATAAAATGCAAATAAAAGTACAATATTTTAAGTATGGATAAGATTGATTTTATCAATAGAGAAATAGTCTCAATATTAGACGTACATATTGTTGTAAACATTTTTATGTGTGTGTATGGTATGCATATATATGTATGTGTGTTCTTATATGTATGGGTGCACATGTGTGTGTAAGGACTGGGGGTGGTGTACATGCACATGTATGTGCCTGCCTTTATTGGCCAAAGTTGACATCAGGTGGCATCCTCTTCCTCGATCATTCTCTATATAACGAGGCAGGGGCTCCTGCTGAACCTGGGTCTCTTGCTGAACCTTTGGCTCCCTTTTTCTTCTAATCTCATTAACTAACTTCCTCCACAGATTCCAGGTCTCTACACCCTAGAACCGGGACTGTAGGCAGACCAGCATGAACACCCAGCTCTTACACGATTCCTGGGAGTTCACACTCCAGTTCTCATTCCCGTGCAGCAAGTATAACACCACTGAGCCGTCTCTCCAGCCCCGTTCGAAACTCTCTGTATGGAAATTGGCCTCTTTTTTGACAGGACAATTTCACATTTAAGAACTAATGATGTACCCGGGCGGCGGTGGCGCACGCCTTTAATCCCAGCACTCGGGAGGCAGAGGCAGGCGGATCTCTGTGAGTTCAAGCCCAGCCTGGTCTACAGAGTGAGATCCAGGAAAGGCACAAAGCTACACAGAGAAACCATGTCTCAAAAACCAAAAAAAAAAAAAACAAAAAAACAAAAAACCAAAAAAAAACCCAAAAAACCAAACAAACAAACAAAAAAAAAAACAAAACTAATGACGTATTTATTAATATTCTTGTTGCAGGATTGTTAATAAGGAAATACTGGAAACTAGCCAAAGGTCCAGGAGGCATTTACTTGCTAAATAAACACGGCATATCATCTGTATCACTGTGGGAAGGCCCAGTGTTCAATACCTAGGACGGCTCCTGGCACAAAATGGGCCACACCAGCAGGTGTGGATTAATGAACGGGTTCAAAGGAACTTGCTGTGTCTTATCTGTCAACCATTTGTGCAGCAATTGTTATTTGGGGCATAAACAAACCCTGTGACTTCCCTAGCCAAACGTACAGAGAACCATCAATCAGCTGGATAAGAAAGCAGTTCAGCACAAGCTTGAGGACCTGAGTTCAAGTCTCTGTACCCACATGACACTGGGCATGGTAACCTCTGTAACCATGACATTTCTGCAGGAGATGGAGGCATAGACAGGAGAACCCCTGGAAGCTCACAGCCAGTGAGCCTGGTGTGTGTGTGCAGCAGGAAGGGAAGGAGAGAGAGAGAGAGAGAGAGAGAGAGAGAGAGAGAGAGAGAGAGAGAGAGAGGAGAGAGACACTGACCCTATCGTGAGGTGAGGACTGACACTCAGGTTGTCCTTCCACCTCTGTGCATGTATGTACCTGTGGCATGTACACTTGCATTCACACACATATACACAAAGATTATATGTATATATACATATATACTCAAATTAGGGGAAACCAATGTCCATTAAAAAGACATATAAATATATGTGTACATACTGTAGGGTAAAAGGGCCGCCCTGACCCTGAAACCAGAGCCAAAAGGTTAAAAAGGGCCAGTGAAAGAAACATTAAACTCAGCATAAAAACCAACCAATCCCTGAGCATGAAACCAACCAATTCCTGAGCACAAAATCCAGCCAATCTCTGAACTTGTCTAAGCTCGGGGATTGAAACTGAACCAACTTCCACCCTGAAAATCTTCACCTGGAAAAACTTTGCCCCTAAGTAGCCCTATATAAGCCCTGTACCTGTTCAGTTGGGAGCTACTTTTTCCACCTGGCAGAGGCAGCCACTCCTCGGTCCCCACCCCCAATAAATCTCTTGAATGAGGTTTGGGTGATGACTTTCTTTCACTGAAGTGGAGCCAGCCAGAGAAGTAACAACTCTTGCCAGAGCAGGAGCAGAACTGCTACATTTCTGTGGGGAACCCCCCTTAGCAGAGTGGGGCAGAGAAGTAACGGCTCTCCAGAAGATAAGCAGAACTGCTACATTCCTGGGGGGAGGGGGAGACCATCCCCCACCAGAACAGAGCTGTAGGTATCGCCGGGCTTCCAATGGCCAAGATACCTTTCCCTTCCAAGCTATAGGTATGGCCTGGCTTCTGACAGCCAGGATACCTTTCCCTTCAGAGCTGAAACACAGGTATAGCCTGGCTTCTGGCAGCCAGGATACCTTTCCCTTCAGAGCTGTAACACTTACACATACTGTTACACATATATAATTAATTTGTTGAAAAGATCTGGTTGGATCTGTGTTGAGTGGGATGTGACTTCCACTACCTTTGTAAGACCTCTGAATTACTTGAGATTTGCTTTGAATTAGTACATATTTAGTATCTTGACAAAGGTATACACACGTATTTTAAACCTAAACAGATTTTTCGCTATCTCAGTGGTTTCAGGACAGAGGGAAGAAGGAGGCAGTGGAACTACCTACCTAACTTCTAACACAGTCCCCAAGATTTCACACCTAGTGCCACATCTCTCTGGTGTCCAAACTTGGGTACAGGTGTTTCTGTGAAGACTCCAGATGTGAAGTTCATTGTCAGTTGACTTTGGAGTAGGGAGATTATTGTAGGTGTGTCTGATCTAGCATATTGGTTCTTGTCAGTTCTTGTCAGAGTTTCCAGCAGGAGCCTTGGAACTCTTTAAGCACTGAAGTAGCAATTACTATATGTGGACTGCCTTTGGCAGGACCTGAGGGTCATCTCTAGGAGCTGACAGCCAACAGTTAGGTTAACAGAGACTTCAGACCTACAACCATAACAAGCCAAGTTCTGCTAATAACTAGGAAATGTCAAAAGAATCTCAAATCTTAGTTAAGATCACTGATGCTTTGATTCCTGCATGCTGAGTATAGATTTCCAACTCAAGGGAATTGTGAGATAATACATTTGTGTTGCTTTATTTTAATTTAATTTTTTTGAGAATGTAGCCTGGGCTGGCCTCCTACTCTATCCTTTAATTAAAAGAAATTGTGTTATATGTAGAGGTGTTTTGTCTGTATATATGTCTGTATATCTTGTATACTTGTGTGCCTGGTACCCCCTGAGGCCAGAGCGGGGCAATAGAGCCTCTGGAGCTGGAGTTAGAGATGGTTGTGGTTTACTGCTCTAAAGATAACCAGACCTGGGAGAGTGGAGCTATAAATGAGGGGGACCAAAGTCTCGTGTAATAGCCAGCTTTATTTTGAGCATCAGACAATTTATACTCTGAAGGTTGGGGGGGGGTCACATGAGTAAAGAGTACAATCACGAGGGTAAGCCACATGTGGCAGAAACATATTTTTCCATAGAAGCATGTAAATAAGTAGCAATAGCGAGTTGTAATGAATAAACTGAAGTAAACTCATTCGTATCTACTACACCTAAGAGGGGCACAAAAGCATAATCCAAGAACAATTCCATGGTTTTGAAGAAACTTGATTTCTTTGAGTTTTCTCACAAGCACTCAGAAATCTCCTTACATGGCTCCATTCTTGAACATTCTCCAACAGTTAGGAGCCACCAAGTAGGTGCTCAAAATTGAATCTGGGTCTTCTGCTCTTAACAAACTGAGCCATTTCGCTGGTCCCTGGCTTCCCACTCTTTATCCTTTTGCTTCAACTGCCAGGTTTTGGGATTGTAGGTGTGTGCTACCAGGCCTAGCTTTTGTATTGTTTTAAATCCCTAAAAGTATTAGTATCCCTTTATCTGAGGTTTTACTACCTGATTTTTTTTTCGTTAGCCAATGATAGCTGTAGTCCAAAACTATTTAATAGACAACTCCAGAAGTAAACAAATGTTCAAATAACTTATCCCAGGGTAGCGTTACAACAATCTGCTTTGCTGTTACTGCTGTTGATTTCTTGCTGTCTCTAAATTATGAGGTCAGTTTTTACCAGAGGTCTTAGTAATAGGAAAGGGTATAGTTTATGTAATGTTTGGTGCTATTTGATTTGAGGCATCTAAGGAACATCTTGGAGCATAATGTTTAGGTGATGAAGGGTGGGCTAGTGAACTTTCTGTCCCAGTAGTAAGTGCTAGAGATGATCCTCTTACAAAGGGAAAGGATTTCTTTTGGCTCACCATTTTGAAGGTTTTAATTCATGATGGGTTGGGCAGTGTATTAGTTCCTGTGACAAATACCATGAGGGCTACAGTCCACAATGGCAGCAAAGGAGGCATGGCAGCAGAAACAGGAAGTAGAGAATTCCATCTACCAAAGAGTGGGGCAGGGGACAGGAAGTTGATCAAGGCTATAAACTTTCAAAGCCTGCCCCTGATAATGTACTTTCCTCCAGCAAGGCTGTACCTCGTAAAGTGCCCATAAACTCCCCAAAGAGCACCACCAACTGGGGACCGAGTGTTCTGATACAGGAGCCTGTGGGGGATATTTCTCATTCAAACCACAACAGCCAGGTTGCTTAGACACTTGGTACAGCAGAACCTCATGGTGGGGCCACAGCAAAGCAAAACTAATCTTTTTATGCGAGGGAAGTACAACAGCGGAAGTGGGCTCAGGCAGAGCGCTTGCCTAGCAAGGGTGAGGCTCAGAGTTCAATTCCCACTGCCCCATCCCAAACGAACAACCACTACAACCAAACAGGAGAGAGAGTGACCTGAATATTCCCACCCTTTAAGAGGTCCTACCCCTTAAATGTTTCATCCCCTCCCATTAATACCCATGGGGAGTGCTCCAACCTGTTAACATTGCGGTAGCAGGTATTAGGAATCAAAATAACTCCAGCAAGATGGCTCAGCAGGTGAAGACACTTGCTACCAAGTGGTGGCCTGGGTTTGATCCCTGAGACCCATATGAAAGGAGAGAACTGACTCCAGCAAGTTGTCCTTTGATCTCCATGTGGGCACTATGATGTGTGTCTTCCCCCATAAATAAATAAATAAATAAATAAATAAATAAATAAATAAATAAATAAATACATATATACATACATAAGTAAATAAATGTAATTTAATTTTTTTCATGACCTTTGGATTGGTGTACTTGCCCACAAGCTGATACTTAGGTGCTTTATGAAAAGTTGAGAAATTGTCTACTACCTAACAAGCAACTAGGCAAGGAAATAAAACTTGTACCTAGTGCAGTCACTGTCATGGTTTAAATGAGAATGTCCCCCCCACCCATAGTCTCAGGTATTTGAACACTTGGTTGTAAACAGAAGTTTCTGTCCCACCAGCAATTCCCAAATACCCGGCAGCCACTTCCCAAATTACCACACAAAGGCTTATATTAATTATAAATGTTTGGCCGATGGTTTAGACTTATTACTAACTAGCTCTTACATTTAAATTAACCCATTTCTATTAATCTATGTATTGCCACGTGGTCTGTGGCATTACTAGTTCTCTGGCTTCTTACTTCTTTGGTGGCTCCTTACACCACTCCTTCACTTTGCCCTTCTTCTTCACCTCCTTAGTTTGATTTTTCTGCCTAACCTTATCCTGCCTGGCTATTGGCCAAACAGCTTTATTATTAACCAATGAGATCAACACACATTCACAGCGTACAGAAGGACCATCCCACAGCACTTGGTCCCCAATTGATGGCACTGTTTGGGGAAGCTCAGGAGATGTGCCCTTGTTGAAGGAAGTGTGGACTTGGAGGTTTCAAAGCCTTGTACCATTAGCAGTTGGCTCTCTCTGCTTCATGCTTGCAGTTGAAGATGTCATGCCTGCTGCTTGCTGCTGTTTCTCCATGCCGTGACAGACTCTTGTCCTGCTGGAACTATAAGCCAAATAAGCCCCTCCTGTAAGTTGCTGTGGTCATGGTATTTTATCGCAGCTGTAGAAAACTAGTGAATACAGCCATTCCATCAGCACCACCTCGCCTAGACTGACGTTTTCCTCCTCGCTACCACACGAGCCTGCGGCTGTCTTGAAGACATTGGTCTTGCCACAGGTTTTGTTCCTGTCAGTGTTTTCTCTTCATTCCTCAGGGAAGCATTTGTTGCAGCCCAGGAGCATCTCTGTGCCTTGCTCAGCTGTGGTTGTCACCACCCTATAGAATTTGAATGGAATATTCTCCAAGTTTTTTTGCTCCACATGTGCCGTCTTAGTTACTCCCCCCCCCCCATGAGGAGACACCATGACCAAGACAAATTATAAAAGAAAGCATTTCCTTGGGGGCTTGCTTATAGTGTCAGAGGGTGAATCATGACCATCATAGCAGGGAGCATGGCAGCAGGCAGGCATGGCTGGAGTAGTAGCTGAGAGCTTACATGTGATGCACAAATTGGAGTCAAAGTGTGAAACTTCAAAGCCTACCCTGTGACACACTTTTCTCCAACAAGGCCACACCTCCTAATCCTTTCCAAAACTGTTTTACTAACTGTGGGCCAAGCATTCAAACGTATGAGCCTATGGAGGTGTGCTGGCTGGTCTTCTTATGTCAACTTGACACACAAGCTAGAGTTATCTGAAAGGAGGGAACCTCAATTGAAAGAAAGCCTCCATAAGATCCAGCTGTAGGGCATTTTATTAATTAGTTATCGATGTGAGAAGGCCCAGCACATTGTGGGTGGTGCCATCCCTGGGCTGGTAGTCCTGGGTTCTATAAGAAAGCAGGCTGAGCAAGCCATGGGGAGCAAGTCAGTAAGCAGCACCTCTCCATAGCTTCTTCATCAGTTCCTGCCTTGTTTGAGTTCCTGTTCTGACTTTCTTTGATGATGAGTAGTGATACGGAAGTATAAGCCAAATAAATCCTCTCCTCCCCAACTTTTGGTCATGGGGTTTTGTTGCAGCAACAGAAACCCTGACTAAGACGGGAATTCTCATTCAAACCACCATATATGCCACTGGCATCGTCTTTAACCTTGTCTTACTCTGCTTAGTCCTTGCAGTTACCATAATGTTTGGGCAGAGTCTGAAGTTGTAGTGTTTGGGGAAGAGTCTCAGACTAACATTAAGCCTTGACTTTCATGCAAGGTACCAAGCATCTTACTCATTTTGCATAAGGTGGCTTAAAGAAATCAACATACTGGGACTGGGGATGTACCTCAGCAGGAGAGCACTCACCCTGCAGAGCCCTGGGTTCCATCCCAGTACTGATTTATTTGAATAAATAAATCAGAACCAATAACCTGCAATGAGCCGTTGTGTTTCATTTATGCAAACTACCAACTGAAATAAACCTTAAGAACGTTTTATTCCAAGAGGGAAATTACATCACAAACTTCAATGAACACTTTCCCCCTCCCTTTAGAGTATGAAGCTGAGATACCTACCCTTCCAGAAGGATATAAAGTGAAGGAGGAAGCAGCCGTTACAGTGAGCTCGGTGAGTATTGCCCAGGCTTCAGCGAGAGCAGTACCAAGAACCCTGAGGGTCACATCCTGGCTCGGGAGGGAGAGAGGGAAGACACTGGAGGTAGAACTTGCAACATGCTTCTTCTGAGAGTGGAGTGGCTTAAGAACCATCATATATGCACTTTGAACCTCATGGTGGATTCCATAAAATGGGGCAGCTCACATTTCCTTGTGACCAGCTCACACTGTAAAAGATGTTTACAGTGGATCTATATAGTGACAGTTGTGGATAGAGCAGGTTTCTCTGTGGGCTGAGAGAGGACCAGCAGCCAAGAAGGGTTGGAAATATACCTTGGAATTGCATTCACTGGACAGCCTTAATTTTTTTTTTTTTTAAAGACTCAAGAGGCAAAGGGACTGAACAAGTTTGCAGGGATAGAACCTAAACTGAATTCTGTAGATTTTGAGTAATTTTTATTACTGCAATGGCCTCTGACAAATTCTTGTTTTTAAAACTCTTGTTCTGTGACTGTTCCTTTTTGCTAACATCCTGTTCTTTCTTTGCCGGTGCAATTCTTACACAAATTTCTCTCCAGATGCTAATTATCATTCTCTTTCCTGAATTATTTTTTCTAAGGACAGTTTTTCTATTTATTGGTTTTAGTTTTTGTTTGTTAGACAGGGTCTCACTATATAGATGCGACCAGGCTGGCATGGAACTCCATATATAGCTCAGATGGCCTTAAACACTTAATTCTCCTGCCTTAGCTTTCAGAGTGCTGAGGTGCTAAGTTTACACCACCATACCTGGATCTTGCATGCTAGTTTTCTTTCTTTTCTTTTTTCTTCCTTTCCTTCCCTCCCTCCCTTTCCCTCCCTCCCTTCCTTTCTTCCCCCCCCTCTCTCTCCTCCCTCTTTCCCTCCCTCCCTTGTCCTGTTTTGTCCCATCCCTCCTAACTTTCTTCCTTCCTTCCTTCCTTCCTTCCTTCCTTCCTTCCTTCCTTCCTTCCTTCCTTCCTTCCTTCCTTTCTTCTCTCTCTCTCTCATCCTGTCCCTCCCAACTTCCTTCCTTCCTTCCTTTTCTTTCTTATTTATTTATCTATCTATTTATTTATTTTGGAGACAAGGTCTTGTGGTCATCCTCCTTGCTCTTCCCCCCAGGTGCTGGGTAGGATTACAGGTGTTTACCACCAAGCCCAGCCATGGCTATAATTCTTGATCTTTGGTTTTTATCCTATTGGTGTTCTTGATCTATGTAGAGAGCTTTAGTTGTGTACAGCCTTTTTTTTTTAAAGAATTATTTATTTATTATGTACACTGTGTTCTGCCTGCATGTATGCCTGTATGACAGAAGAGGGCACTGGATTTCATTGTAGATGGGTGCTGGGAGTTGAACTCAGGACCTCTGGAAGAGCAGCCAGGGCTCTTGACTGCTGAGCTATCTCCCCAGCTCCCAGTTGTGTACAATCTTAAATGGGAGCCTAAGAGTATTTCTCTATAGAGCCAAGTACCTTAGGGCTGTATAGAGCATCAGAACCAGTAGGAGATGATTGGGTAGATGGATGGATAGATAGATAGATAGATAGATAGATAGATAGATAGATAGATAGATAGATAGACTGTAGATAGTTGATTGGTGATATAGATAGGTAGGTAGATGACAGGAGGCTCATTAGTGAATCATCTCACACACATTACTAAAGCTGCATGGCTTAGTTAGGGTTTTTATTGCTGTGAAGAGACACCATAATCACAGCAACTCTTATAAAGCCTGCATTTAATTGAGGGTGGCTGGCTTGCAGTTTCAGAGATCCAGTCCATTATGCTCATGAAGGGGAGCATGGCAGCATCCAGGCAGACGTGGTGCTGGAGCTGAGAATGCTTAGTACATCTTGCAGGCAACAGGAAGTCAACTGCCTGTCACACTGAGGGACGCTTGAGAAAAAGAGACCTCAAAGCCTGCCCCCACAGTGACACACTTCCTCCAACAAAGCCATAACTCCTAATAGTGCCATTCCCTTTGGGGGCCATTTTCTTTCAAACCACCACACTGCACAGTCTCACAGCAGGCTGTCTTCAAGCTGGAGAACTTAAAAGCCAGCAGTGTTGCTTACCCTGAGCCTGATGGCCTCTGACTCGGGGAAGCTGATGTGTATCTCTCAGTCCAAGTGCAGAGGTCCAAGACCCAGGGGCCACAGATGTGTTCCAGAATCAAAACACTGTATCAGGAGTCCCAACATGTAAGCCAGGTGCAAAATAAAGGCATGTGGCTCTAGGAGGCAGAGGATTCACTTCCTTCCACGTTTCTGCCACCTGCCTTGGATGGTGCCTGTCTCCAGTGAGGGTGAATCTTCCCCAACTCAGCCCCCAGCTTAGTCTCCGATCTGCAGATCACCTTCACAGACACACTGGACAGCTCTATCAGTGGTCTCAGTCTGCCCTGGTCTCTGATCTGCAGATCACCTTTACAGACACACTGGATAGCTCTATCAGTGGTCTCAGTCTGTCCTAGTGTATTCCATTCGGCATCTAAAAGTAGGCACCACAGCTGGTATGCTTGCTTTCCTGTAGCTGTATATATAGGGCTTTGCTTTCTGGATGGATCTCCTCTATGAATAGAAAAGCTCAGTCTCATGGGCGTGTTTACCTCTGGAAGACTTCTTCAGGGTGGCCAGGAACAGCGTCAGTATTTCCCTGTTGGGCAGTAGACCTCTGAATCAGAAGTGAGTTTGGGGGTACCAGTATAATATCCCATGGGAGTTCTCCTTCTTAGGCTTTGCTTTATGTGTGTACAGAAGAGCCGCTGGGGAGGTTGGGGAGGCGACAGGACATGCTGGTGCAAAGGAAGCTCCTGGGGGTCAAGAGGGGACAACAGCCCAAGGGAAAACGTGGGCACTTGGCCCTCCGGATGGCATTGCCCTTCTTTTCTCACTGTTGTGTGCCCAGCAGTTCTGAGGGCCAAGCCCCTTGTCGTCCAGGGCTGTTTCTTCCTATGGCTTCCCCCACTTCCTCTCTTGGTCATCCAAACTGGCTTCGTCCCTGTGTATTTTTCCCATGCTCTTATGTGTCTGGTGTACATGTGTGTTTGCAGGCTTGTATGTGTGTGGGCACACTTGTGGGGTGCACATGTGTGTGGAGACCTGAGGTTGGTGTCAGAGATTGTCGTCCTGTCACATTTGTGCCTGATTCGTTGAAAAAGGTCTCTCAGTCAAACCCAGAGCTTGCTGATGCAGCCAGCCTTGCTAGGCCATTTCTCTGGGAATCATTTCTCCACCTCAGAGGCTGGAATTACAGGGGGTTGCCATATCCACCTGATATTTACGTGGGTTCTGAACTCTGCTTTTCAAACTTGCAGGATAAGAGCCATGACCACTCCCTAGCCTCCTCCTTCTGTTTTGGTTTGTTGGCCAATGTCTCAACCACAGACTGTCTTCCTGTCCCTTTTCCCCACTAAGGTTTCTAACTTCACTGTCATTTAATTTTGTCTTTTTTTCCTCCTCAGAACTTAGGACCGAACCCAGGGCCTTGTGCTTGTTAGGCAAGTACCCAACCACTGAGCTAAACTTGCAACCCGTTACTCATTTAAAAGCGGCATGCCAGGAGGGAAGGGCGGTGAACACGTCTATTCAGAACGACCCCCAACCTATCTGACACAGAAGTTCATCCCCTTATAAGGTTATAAAAGAAAATCAGGCACTGTGGCACATGCCTTCAATCTCAGTACTTGGGAGGCAGAAGCAGGCTGATCTTTGAGTTCAAGACCACCTTGGTCTCCAAATCGAGTTCTAGGACAGCCAAGGCTACACAGAGAAACCCTGTCTTGAAAAAGCCAAAAAACTGATGATGATGATGATGATGATGATGATGATGATAATAATAATAATAACAATGATGATGATGATGATGATGATGATGATGAAAACTGAGGGCTGGCGAGATGGCTCAGTGGGAAAAGGTGTTTGCTGCCAAGCCTGACAACCTGAGTTCAGTTCCTGGGAACTCAGGAAGGAGAGAACCAACTTCCACAGATTGTCCTCTGACCTCCACACATGTGCTGTGGCATGTGTGCACCCCTGCATAAATAAGTTGAATTTAAATTAAAAAATAAAGACAGATCCAATTCTTGAAGCTGTTTTGGAACTCACGGCCCTACCCCGCTGCCTGTAGGTCACACCATTGGAGGAACTGGTTCCCCATGGCTTCAACACGGAGCACTACTTCCCTGTGCACTCGTTCCCAGTGGTGCCTCCTGTGCCTTGTCCTCCCAAGAAGACAGAGACGGTGGAGCCCAAGACCTGTGAGTAAGGGGGCGGCCTTATCCTCTGAAATTTGGGGTGTAATAGTCACATTCACACAGTAGGGTGGGGGTGCTCAGACACATCACTATCTGTAGTTCTTCGTTTTGTTTTGCCTTTTGGGCTAAGCTGGCTGGCCAGTGAGCCCCAGGAGTCCCCCTCCCCAGCACTGGGATCACAAGCCCACACCACCGCACCTGGCTTTGTTCACACTGGTGCTGGGGGTTGATCTCGAGCCCCGAGCTAAGCACCTCCCCAGCCCCATAGTCCTCATTTATAAGAGGACTGTTGTTGGGTCACTGAGGCCTTTGCAAGGTTAGCATGCAGCAGAGAGAACGGAGCAAGCCCTGTGATTCTCTCCTAAATACTAAGCTAGGGACAGGAAGGGTAAACAGATGCACAGAGCAGAAGAAAGTGTCCTGTTGTCCAGCCTGCTGGTCCCTCTGAGCCGCAGCTCGTGAGGCCTCCCTATGCTCTTTCTCCTTGTTGGTTTTGTGCCTTCTGCTCTGGGCCCTGGCCAGCGCTGCCAACGTTACTGTGACAGTCAGGCCCCGTCTGTCCTACTCGCCTATCCCAGCTTCTCTCTAGCCTCAGTTCCCGTGGTACCTCATGCTCACACCCCACTGCTCCCACAGACACTGGCCTCTGTGCTATGACTGCCTAGGTGCCGTAAGCGGGTGGAGAACTTGACCCAGGTAGGTCCCCGACCATGTCCTTGCCAGAGTCCAGAAGCTCACGACCTGAAGCACAGTGACAAGTAAGATGATGCTGTTGAACAGACGGCACTTTTCTTGTTTTGTTGTTTTTCAGACAGGGTCTCCCAGGCTTGCCTGGAACTTTCTATATAGCCAAGGCTTGCCCGGAACTTTTGATCTTCCTGCCTCTACTTCTTGAGTGCTATGACTACAGGCCTGCAGTACCACATCCAGTTTATTGGATGCTGGAGATCAAAGCCAGGGTTTCCTCTATGCTAGGCAAGCACTCGGCCAACTGAGATACTACAGCCCCAGCCCAGATGGAATATATTTCCATCCCTCCTCCCTCCCTGTCTCCCTTCCTCCTTCTCTGTCTCTCTCTCCCTCCCTCTTCCCTCCCCCCTCTCTCTGTAAAGCAGTAAATGTCTTTTTCAGATGAATTTAGTCTTTTGGGATTTTCAGTAGGAATATTCTTGTTTCAGGTTCCCCCAAAGATTATCTGGAAATGTTCATCTTTCCAGTTCTGCTCCCTGGAATGGCCAACCTGCTTCACCAAGCAAAGAGAGAAAAATGTTTTGAGGTCAGTGGTTTGGTGGGATGACCATATTTTTAAATTCTTGCTCATTCATTTCAGTCTGATGGCAGCCCATGAGCTTGGTACCATTGAGTCGCTATTCTCAAAATTGACCCCTTTGCAAGGGAAGCCTGAGTTTGGGGCCCCCCCCCCCCCCGCTTCCCAGCCACAACATCTAGTACTACATAAACGTACATGTACTGCCAACTCTGGCCACCTGGGCCCCTGAGAGGTTATCTGCCACCTAGCCTTCCTGCCCACCCTTCTCCTGGGCAGTTTGGCATCAAGCAGGTTCCCATCCATCACAGCTGAGAAGTCACAGTATGGAAACCTGAAGCAGCTTGTCGTATCACACCCACAGCAGAGAGAAATCATTGCATGCAGGCCCCCCTTACCCCCAGCTAGCTTTCTCCTCTCTCACACAGTTGAGGAGCCCCTGCTTAGGGAATGGTGTTGCCCACAATGGGCTGGGTCTTCCTACATCAATTAACTGTCAAGGTAGCCTTCCACAGACATGCTCACTGACCAATCTGGCCTAGGTAATTCCTCATTAAGACTTACTGAAGTGACTCCAGGTTGTGTCAAGGTGACAGTTAAAGCTGACAGTACACCATGCTTGCTTCTTACTTGTCTCTGGATTGATCCTGCTCCTCTGGCCTCTCCTTTCTCCATTCTTTGCTGACTTTTTGATTGGTTGGTTTAGGTTTGAATTTTTTTTTTTTTTGAAACAAGATCTCATGTTCCCTAAGCTATCCTCAGAGCCCTTATCTTGAACTCCTGATCTTCTACCCGACTCCTCAGCTGGTATCAAAACACTGTGCCACTGCCTCCAGCTTCCATGCTGACTACTCTGGGGGAGGCGTGGTGTGCACCAGCGCTCAGCACACTCTCATTACTGTGCTGAAGTCGCTTAAGCCCGTCCGCTGATCCTGTCCCAGTCTGCATAGACTCTCAGGGCTCCTCTTCTCCGCCTCTCACAGGATGGTTTGGAGGGCTGTTTCCCACATGGTTTTGAAAACTAGACTTTTGGATGTCCCCCTCTGTTTTGTGAACTTTCCCTAGGGTGGCACAATTACTGCACTTACCCCAAATAGGACACCAATGACCAGCCAATGTAGCAATTTCACCAAAGTCCAACTTGCCCAACTGATGTTTATTGGGCTTACTTAGAGTGTGGACAAAGAGTTACTAACAGGAGTGTGGGTGACCCCAAGGCAGTGGAATCACTGCCAAGTGTCACCCCAACACCAATGGCAACCTCCCCGTGGCTGTATGGATAGTGTCTCCTTTTCAGTTAACCTTCTGCATGCTATATATTTTAGCACCTGCAGCTTGGGTCAGGGGGAGGTATTAGAAGGAATATCTAGAATCTCAGATGAGGGTCTAATGACCCTCCCTACCCCCTCCTGTGAAGAAACAACAAGCCTGACCTTGAGAATCTCCTGTGGGTAGTTCAGTTGCTCTCATGGAGATGGTAATGGCCCCTGTGCCGGAGGACAGCCGTTTACAACACAGTGAGAGGGTGAGTGAGCAGTGACACGCACTGCTGGTCGGGCACTCGCTCTGCACCGGGCGCCTCACTAAGAGCTTTGGCTTCCCCTGTGTCCATGCTCACATCATCCCCAAGAAATTCTTTGAGTGGGTCTTGCCTGTGTCCAGTAGATGAGAAGAGGAAAGGATGCAGAGCTTCACAGTATGTCCCAGGATTCAAACCCGGATAAAATGACTTCAAGTGGCACTTAGACAGTAGGCAGTAACTATGGGGGAAGGCAGGTGACAGACAAAGCCTGGGGTCTGTAGATGTAGTCACAGGCGATGGCATCACCACATGGTTGGCCTTCTGACCCCAAAGGGTCACTGTCTGAGACAAACTGATCCTCCTGCAGTGGTACTTTTCTGTGCTGTGGAGATAGTTTCCATGTGCTTTACATGTGACTTTTGTTTAGTGAGACCTGATGTCTCCCTTCCTCCTTACCATGACTTCCTCTTATTCTGTGGCTCCGTCAGTTACTCACTGCTTGGATCCCCATGACATCATGTTCCTTCTGGTAGACTTTCCTGTGACAGTTGTGTCTTTACTTGAAGCAAAAATGAATTAGAAGACATTGATGTTATTTGTGGGACTTCCCTCACCCCCATTTCATTGTTTTGTGTGAGGCAGGGCCTCATGTAGCCCAGGCTGGCCTCAGACTTACTCTGTGGCCAAGGTTTACCTTGAACTTCTGATCCTCTTGCCTTTGCCTTCTGAAAGCTAGAACCTCAAATGTGTGTCAGTTACCATGTCTGATTTTAAGCATTGCTGGGGATCAAAGCCAGGGTTTTGTGCGTGCTGGGATGCACTGTACAAACTGAGCGGGATTCTCTGCCCTCCTGGTAGGAACTGGCATAGCACACTGTGTTAGTTAGCTTCCTGTCACTGTAACAAAAATCCCTGAGATAATCAACTAATAAAGAGAAAATGTTTGTTTTTGGCTCACAGTGTTGGAGGTTCCCCATGACCAAGTTACTGTTGCTTTGTGCCAGGAAGCCACACCATGGTGGCAGCAGATGGCAGAATGAACCCACTCACATCACAAGCTAGAGAACAGAGAGAGAAGGGGCTGGAACTCCAGTCCCTTTTGGTGACACACCCCAGTGACCCAGACTTTGGATTAGATCCAGCTCTTCCAATAGCGCCACCGTGGGGACTACCTTGAACACTTGGGCTACCATGCCATGTGACAATGGCAAACCCACACGATGAAGCCAAAGCCCCTAGCCTGGCTTTCAAGGCCCTCTCCAAGCCTCCTGGATCCTTCTCTTTCTCCTTCTCTGGCTCTCCTTCCCAGGTACCTCCAGCTAAACAGATGCTCCTGTACCAGCCTCCCCACTCCAGGGCCCCTGGGCATTTGGGCTCGGGCATTGCTCCTCCGTGTTTTGGAAATCACTCCTTATGCTTCTCTCCTCTGCATAGTGAAGCGCTATTTGCTTTCCAGACTCAGCTGTGGGATACCTCTCCCGGGCTCCCAGCTCCCTGGAGGCCCAAAGGATAGGCAACTGATCCCAGCTCTCAGATTTCAGAGCACTCATCTGCTCCTCATTTTATGGTAGATTCAGACAGTCTCAATTAAGACATTCTTAACCACATATATTTAATTTTATACATGCCTGACTTCCCAACTATTTTAAGTATTCTGAGGACAGAGTCCCTATCTTAGTTTTATACTTCTCAATGCCTAGTACAATTCTACCGAGCCCCTAGCACATGGTAAACACAGAGCTGGCCCCCAGTGAGTGCACACAGTTGGACCTCAAAGATGCACGGTTGTTACTATGTCCTTGGCCAACACCCTTCTTCTTTTTGGAAGGCCATTCTGTTGAACTTATTCCCTAGAGAGAAGTTCTGGACAGGCAAGGGAACAAGACATCTGTTCCTGAGTTTTAGTGAGTAGCGGGAGAAAGCTCAGGGGCCAGCCAGGGGCAGAGCCTGCTTCCCTAACAGTATTAGAGTCAGTAAACCAGGCCTCGGTGAGGAGTAAAAGGTGGATCATTTTGAAGTCTATCTCAGGCAGGTATCGTACCACACTCCTCCGGTCTCAGCTGCTTAGGACAAGTTGAAGACTGCCCTTGGCAACTTGGGATGACGACGTCTCAAAAATGAAATTTCAAAAGGGGCCAAGGGTGTAGATGAGCAGTGCATCTCTTCTCTAGCATGTACAAGGTCCAGGGTTCAAACCTCGGGCACCCAAGGGGGAAAAGCATGATGTCTGCTTGGGACTGATCCTCTCATAGACCCTGGGTTACCTTCCTAAAGCTGGTGGCTTTCATCTTCTGAGTCAGCAGTTTCCATGCACGTGACTGGAGGGCAGTCACGTGCTGCCCGAGGGATGCTTACCTTTGTGAGACAAGGCCGCCCCTGCATTGTTCAGGGCGGACCGGAACCTGCAGAGATCTCAGCAAATATTAACTCTGTATCAACTTAGTGCCCCTGTGCAACAAGCGCTTCTCCGTGTCACCTCCCGCTTGTTTCTGGTTCTTGGTGTGACTCAGCACTTGGTCCTGGCCCAGGGAGGGACCGCGTGGGAGAACACACTCCACTGTGATTTCACCAGGCAGATTATTTTATTGATAACTTCACGGGAAAAGGGAAAGAGGGTCTCATTCATACCTGGCAAGCAATACCTCATTGATCTCTAGAAGGTTCTCTGTCTTCATCAAGCACCTGCTAGATCCTGAGCAGTTCTGATCTGGCCCTCAGCTCACACGGCTCCTCAGCGAAGCCCGGCCCAGCACTGGGCCTCCTCCATGACAGTGCAGGTCAGCTGTGGTCTGTGGCCCTGGGGCGTGGAGGAGGATGAGGCGTCATCTCACCCACCCACATAAGGCCTGACTGGTCTTCACATTGCTCTGCAGGAAATGGCTAGTTTGCCACGTGGGCCTGGTGCATTCGAACTGGGGCGCTTCGATGCTCTCCTCCGTCCCGCTGCTCTCCTCCGTCCGCTGCTCTCCTCTACCCCGCCGCTCTCCTCTACCCCCCTGCTCTCCTCTACCCCGCCGCTCTCCTCCGTCCGCTGCTCTCCTCTACCCCGCTGCTCTCCTCTACCCCGCTGCTCTCCTCTGTCCGCTGCTCTCCTCCATCCCGCTGCTCTCCTC